TAGGTTTGAAAAAGGGGAAATTGGTTCTATAGCATTAAAAGATGGCAAGAATCGGAAAATGCCATCAAAAGAGTTCTGTTACGTAAAATACCATTGAAAGATGAAAACGTTACCTGAGAATAGCATTTCGTCACGTTATCACGTTTGGAGGTAACGACGTCCACTTCCTTCTCCATTCCTCTCTTCTCTCTTCTCTAGTTTAAGCGAATTGCGCGCGATGAAGCTCCTTTGGCGTTGTCCGTGTGGTCATGGTGACGATGATGGGCGCCGAGGAGGCGGCGCCGTTGATGTTGAAGCCGGTGGCGCTGGTTGGGGACGAGGTGAGGGCGGGAGGGGAGGTGATCTGGGCCGGGTTGAATGACGACGGTGCAAAGCGGCGCGCTACCGGGGTTTAGCGCGACGCGGCGCTGCGGAGGCGCTTTGTATGGGCGCCGTACGCCCAAGAAGTTGTGCTTGTTGTTGTGCATCCGCACCTTGAAGACGCCCTTGCCGATGCCGATGTCGCGGCACCACTCGTCGACGATGGCCTCGTCACGCTTCTGCAGCCACCACCCGAGCCGCTCCTACAGCTCCTGCATCCATTGCTTCGCTTTCTGCGGTGAACTTGGTGCGGAACCGCTTCACTGGCATCGGCATCGCGGCCCCGGCGGGAGGCGTGCTTTCGGCGCGTCACCGTTGAGCGGTGAGGCTCAGTAACCTCTGCTGCGGCCGCCACAGCAGCCCCGGGCGCACTACGAGCCAAGCGAGGGCAGCATGTGTCGCGCGCCGTCAAAAGTACGACGGCGGCGGCGGGGCTCTTCGCCACCAATGCCGCAACGCGTGGTGGTGCGACGGCGGCGGCGGGGACACCGACCGCTCCTCATCGTACTCTGAGCCCTCCGAAGTCGAATTGAGTCGTCGGCGTCGACGACCCCGGTGGTGGTGGCGGTCCTCGGCGTCTCCTCCCGTCCGCGCGTGTGGTCGGCATGTAGCACGCTTCGGCGCGGCGCGCCCGGAGCACCAACGGCGCAGCGCGGCGGGAACCCTCCACCGTCCGGCGGTGGAAATTGCGGTGGCACCCGCACGCGCGCGTGCTTGAGCGACGTCGGGTCGGCCGGGTTGGCCTCCTGGTGAGGGCATGAACTCGCCGCACCCCGTCCACGGCGTGCCGCGCCAGTGCTCATGACGTGGTTCTTGAGGCACTCGATGCAATGGCTCCCCCAGCCCCGACCGGGCGCCACGGCCGCCGGCCACCGCTTCTTGAGGGCGGCGGCGCCGTTGGGGAACATGACGGGCTTGTACTTGACGTCCATGGCTTCCATAGCCATGGGCGCCCCCCAATCGGGAAGTGGACATCGTTACCTCAAACGCGTGACAACGTGACGAAATGCTATTATCAGTAACGCGTTTCATCTTTTAATGGTATTTTACGTAATGTAACTCTTTTGATAGTATTTTCCGATTCTTGCCATCTTTCAATGCTATAGAATCAATTTTCCCTTTGAAAAACATATGAAAAACTTAGAATATGCACTTGCAACACGTGTGTGGAACCCATAAAACATTCAAAAATAACACTTGCAACTTGCAACATGAAACCACTTGCTGCAACATAAGATTGAAACAGCTAAAACATTTTAAAACATACTGTTGCAACAGATGTGTGAAGCATATACAACATTCCGATAAAAACGATTGCAACATACATCTGGAAACAGATAAAATATTTTGAACAAACGCTTGCAACATGCATCTGAAACGCTTGCAACATGCATCTGAATCACTTGCAACATATGCAACATGTGCAACATCCCCAATCTACTTTTGCATCAGATGAAACAATTGCAATATACATCTGAAACGTCTGAAATAATTGAAACATATATATGCAACATAGGGGAGAGGAAGGCCGGGGGTCAGAGCCAACAGCGAGCGGCGGCGCGTGAGCACCACCGCCATCGTCAACAGGCTTGGCTCGGCCGGACGGGCACACTAGCACCAGCAATGCGCGCGCACCACCGCCACCAGCATCGGTCTTGGCACGGTCAGGCGGGCGGCCGCGACGGGCGCGCGTGAAGGGAGGGACCGAGAAGTGCTCGTGACGGGGGCGAACGAGTGGCGCCGAATGGGGCGTACAGCAACAGCGAGGCAGAGTGGCATCCGTGGTCAGGATGAGACAGACGGAGTGGCTGTGGTGCTGCGAGGGCGAGTGGATGAACGGTCATTGGGCTGCGTCGCGACCCACCATTGGCACCGTCCGGATGAACGTACGCCTGATACCCAGCATTACCGTTTATCGATGCTATACATATCTGTGTTTTGTTCCGACTTCTTAGGTAGCATCTTGTGCCTATTTATGGATTTTTTTTGAAGATCATGTCTACATATGGAATGTACTAACTGCTGTTCTCGTACTGGGCTCCTACGTCAGCGGGTCTGTTCAATTCACCCTGCCCACGCCAATAGGCGAGGGAGGTCAGATAAACTTTTTTTTTATATATATAAAAGGATCGCTTGGATTTGATCTGCTGGTGGATAAGCCTCGTTTGAACATGTACGGATCGGACGGGATCTGGGCCGAATCCCTCCCATCCGGGAACCAGGCCCACTCCACCCGAGGCCAGGAAAAAACACCCCGACTCCATAGCAGTCGACGATCGCCAAGAAACCTGGGCGTTCGGGTTACCCAAATTTTTCGGGTCGGGTAGTTCGGGTAATAAGAAATTCGGGTAATGAAAAACGTTACCTGATTTCAGCCTCGAAAAACCACTACCGAAATTTTCGGGTACCCGATAATTCGGGTTCGGGTATTCCCGAACTACCCGATATTGTCGGTGTGGGAGCTCGGCCGCGCGGGGGCTCGGGCACAGCAGTACAGCACCGGGGTCGATCCTGCCTGGCACAGGAGTACAGCACCGGGGTCGCGGAGGCGGGGCGGCGGACGGCCGCGCGTCGATCCTGCCTAGCGGTCGCGAAGGTGGGGAGGCGGCACGTCGAGCCTGGCGGTCATGTGGCATGACAGCGTCGGGACCACGGGACGGGCGCGGGGCGCGGCCGCTGTGAAGCGGCGTCGGGGGCTTCGGGGCTCTTGTGATCGCGGCGTCAGCGTCGAAGCGCTGGGGCTCGGCGAGTCGACGGTCGCTAGGGTTCGGCGGGGAGTGGGATTTGGGGGCACGGGCGCGCGGCGGTCTGGCCGTCTGGGCCTCTGGGGTGGGGGAGTCGGGGTCAGCTAAAGCAAGGCACACTGTGGCAGCCGGCCTCTGGGCCTCTGGGGGAGTCAAGGGGAGTCGAGTTGAGACTGTGGACTTGCTGGGCCGCAATGCGCCAATGTCGTATAGTGCCAGTCCATGGGCTCTAAAAATATCGGGTAATATGGGTAAATCGGGTACCGGGCGGTGTTACCCGAATTTTCCGAACTAATTTCGGGTATCTGGAATCACTATCCGAAATTATAACCGGGTAGATCGGGTTTGGGTAGTTCGGGTACGGGTACGGGTTCACGTAGTTCAGGTTTGGGTATTGGGTAGCGGGTAATTTGCCCAGGACTCGGCCGCCAGCGTTGCCGACGAGCGTCGCCACCGCTCGCGCCGGATCCAGGCTTGGTCGCATCCCTATTGCCTCATCGCCTCCTCCTCCCCCTTCCCCTTCCCCTTCTCCTCCCTCCTCATCCGTTGTTGTAGACACGGCGACGGTGCGTATCTCCTCTCCTTTTCGTGCACGTTGTTTGCGTTTCTGTGACGAATCAAGCCCGGCTCCTTTTGGGCGTTGTTGGGCTAGTGGTATTAGTAGATGTGATTCAACTCTGATTTTTCGGTGGTCAATTGATCCCCCTATGCCGTTCGTTGGTAGTCCCTGGTATGCCTCGAAGCTACTACTCCTTGTTTATGGTTTCTTTTTCACTTTTATAATATCCTGCAGACCGAAAAATATTTGCCCTACCAATAGGTATTTGGCGGTAATACTGTTTGCCACAGAGGCTACATCTTCAATGCTAGCTTATATTCCCTAAGCATTGATTTTAAGAGAGATTTTATAAACCACTCAGATGATCGGTAAACTTTTATAAAACACTGTAATTCGTAATGTACTTGATCAATATATTATTTGGAAAGTTCTGATATATAAATATTATAGGGAAGGGTAGTTATGGAATTATGCACAAGTGTTCTCAAGGCGATATGCAGTTTGCTATTAAGCAGTGAGCTATACAATATCGTTTGTGTGAATGATGTGCTTAACAGCATTGTCTCAAAAGGGCAACCGATGCTTTATCATGTTGGTAACATGCTAGAGAAATTTATTCAGGCACATATGTCCTCATTTTTGACTCGGGGCGGCGGTACTGCCCGGGGGTGTTGCTAGTAGATGTAATTCAACTCTTTTTTTTTTTGGTGGTCAATTGATCCCTATATGTCGTTCGATGGTAGTCCCTTGCTTGCTTTGGTACTGGATTGACTTCTAAAAATAGACTACGGTTGCTCTGAGTAACTAAATATTGCACGGCGTCTTCGAAGAAGAAGACCTGGTTGACACGTCTACAGCCTGACCTTAGGTACTGCTGCAGTAGTCCAGCGCATCTGCTTTAGTGATGTGTACAAGAACATTTTTTTACTGTTGTACTCATGCCAATTACACGCTGATCATGCTGAGTAGTGAGTAGTGAGGATGGCATTATACTATAATGCTCTCGCCAATCGAAGAGGCGCTAGTGACGAGCGCAGCTGCAGGAACATAAACCTCTAAGTTGGCATTCTAAGTCGTCGCATAATTTAGTGTGGTGTCAAACTCATATTAGATGACAAATGATGTTCATACAACTCTGCACCCAACACATTTGTTTGAATCTTGCTAGTTTATGGTTCATGATTCCATGCCATATTCGGTATGTGAACATGGAGTGCAAAAGGATTTAGAATGTTATTTTAATTGGGTTGTATTCGTGCAACTGACCTAAATTGTGAATATCAGTTTGCATGTTCTTCTAGAAATCTAAATCATGTTCAATTTTCATTCAGTAAGCGATGGATGATGAAAGCAAGGAGGTGCAACTTTATCTAGTTGTGTCCAAGGTTGATGGGCAGCAGCAGGCTGCGGTAGTTTAACTCACAAATCCTATGCAACAGACTTCAAGCGAAGATTATAGCATTCTTTGTCAGTCATTACTGGGATCAATCGCCAGGCCCAAGTGTAGTTGTGGAGTCAAAGAATGCAATTCTGAAACTACCGAGTAATGATCTTATTAAGTCAATTAAACTGGAGTTGACCACTGATGGACTAGAAAGCATATCCAATTTCGGTCTGGCGATTGATCCAGCAAAACAAGTCGCGGTCCTAACTGCTTATGACACATCAACGGGTTCTCTCGTTTTACAAATGAAGTGTAATTATCATTTTGTACTGTATCTTCGTTACTTAAACCACTAAATTCTTTCATTTTTCTTTTTTGTAATTTAGGAAATTCTTTCATTTTTCTTTTTTGTAATTTAGGAAATTCAGTACTCTGCCAGTGAACAAATGTTTACTCAGTGATTTCAGCATTTCACTCTTCTGCAAATGAACCCGTGGGGTATTCAGTACTTCTCTAAGTCTGGTATGTCTCAAAGCCACTACACCTTGTTTATGGTTCCCCTTTTCACTTTAATATTCTGCAGACCCAAAAATATTTGAGAGAATTAACTGTATGGCCTAAAAAAACTGTGCCTTTTGAAAGGATCAAGATGGACAAGAGGGGATGAATTAGGCTAATTCTAAATTCTTTACAATAATTAAGCCCTACACTTAGCCTACTTTACCTCTTGTGTCTAGAATGTGTTTCTATTATTCTACCGCACAAAAGTTTTGCACCATAAGTTACAATCCTACTCTAGCATGGCAATTCTAGGAATGTAAAGACATGAAATGAATTGCTCAAATGTAAATGCTCAAAGTAAAGAGAGGGAAGGGAACACGATGATGTTTTCCCGAGGTATCGGAGAGTCGCTACTCCCCACTAGTCCTCGTTGGAGCACCCGCACAAGGGTGTAGCTCCCCCTTAATCCGCGCAAGGATCAAGTGCTCTCTACGGGCTGATTCTTTAACACTCCGTCGCGGTGAATCGTCCACAACCGCTCATAACTTGACTTGGGTCATCCACAAGCTCCGTCGGATGATCACCAAGCTTCCAATCACCACCGAGCCGTCTAGGTGATAGCGATCACCAAGAGTAACAAACACAAACTCTCACTTGACTACGACAAGCCTAATAAGAAGGGTGGATGCACATTTGCTACTCTCTATGCACTAATGAGGTCCTTAATCTTGGATTCTCGAATCTCAATCACCTCACTAAGCTCTTGCTCTCCCTTGCACTACAAAGGTGTTTCTCAGCTGAACAAATGGGCAAGAGACCTCCCTTGGATGAATGGAGTAAATATTTATACCCCCTCATTCAAAACATTACGTTTGGAGGCTGAGTCTAATCTTTTTTCTTTTGTTGCTTCTGCATCCTTTAGAAACTTGATATTGTGCATCGTTGTGCATATGCGACTAGTTTTTTTATCCATTTATACTTGTAATTTTTTGATATATTTAATTTAGTTTGGCATCTTTAGTTCGAAGTTCCTTTTCTGTGGACTCGGCATCTGTGGATGATTGACTATTTCAATTTTATGAACTTCCTTACTAGTGTGCTTCATTTTTTTTGCGGGTTAGTGTGCTTCGTTTTGACCTACTGTCTGTTGCTGTGTTGAACATCAGGTTGTAGTAGAAAAGAAGCTTATGCGTGAAATGAATATAACAAGGCATGACATAAGACCTGAAAGTTTTCTTTCTGAAGTAAGTACCTTTTTCATAGCATGTGTTTGTCAGCCAATGGTTTATGGATGTTCATTATAGTGTTGTCTGCTTTTTTTAATTATTAATTCTGTACCGGATGTGATGCAATGCACTATATTGGAGGAACCACCCTGATGTGCTGATAAGTAGATATAGCGTGAAGTATTGAAGGAATAGATTCAATGTGAGTAGGATATAAGTCCCTAAGGACTGTCTGAATCCGACAGATAATAGATCTTAAGCCAAAGCTCGCAGGAGAGATCTAATCCAAGATCTGAAATAGGAACATCTAGATAAGGTTCTGAGCACATGTGAACTACAAATTAGAGGGCGATGCCTCTATTTATAGGCTCCAAGGCCTAAGATGAGAACAAAAGTGACAACTAAGATATTACTCCTAAGTACTCTTCTTTACTCGATAACACCTAAGAGACAACTTGTAGGCAATGTTTTAAAAAATGCTAGGCGCTAGGTTGGCGGTCAAGCTCTTCCTAGTGCCTAGGCATTCATAGGCAATAGTATGTTTTTCAACCGGCTAAAGTAATGCAATGCTAAATAGAGAGATTTGACACATTACTTCTGTAACCATAAATTGTCTTCATCTCCAATATATTCCAAATTTCACACAGATCAAACCGTAAGTCACACTAGGTGGAGAAGTGCCTAGACAAAGCAGGGCAAGGCGAGCTGCTGCTGCTCCACCTAGTGCCTAGGCGCTGGATCAAACCCAAAGTCACACTAGGCGGAAAAGAGCCTAGACAAAACAGGGCTAGGTGAGGTGGACTGCCTTTCTAGAACAGAGCCAAGTATCTTCTAGCTATATAATGACATATTCTATGACATCACCATTCTACTTGAGCAAGGTAGCCCTTCATGAAGCATATATATATATATATATATAGTATAATTGTAAAACTCAAATTGACTTCTTGTTCTTAGCAGCACAATCCAGATTAACTTGTATTGATTGGTCATATGATTTTCCACATCATGATGTACCATTTCCCTTTTGATATTTTCTTATCCATTTTCTCTTCCATCTTTTGTGAAGATCCACAAACGGAAAGAGCAGTATTCTGGTACCATAATGAATCAATTGCGCCGTCTTGGTGCCTCACTTGATTGGTCTCGCGAGGTAACTTTTCTATTTCTTTCTCGAACTGACACTTCTATTTTTTTCCGGTTACTAGGAAAAGGCATTACTTGCTCTTGAACCATGCATAGTTCTGTAATTCGAACTCTGAGTTGTAACTTAATCTCGTCATGGCATCAGGCTTCTACAATGGATGAGCAAAGGTCAAATGCAGTAACTGAAGCTGTTATGTGGCTGGAGGATTGAGAGGGAGAGGCGAGGGGAGCGAGGGCGGCTGATGCGCTACAGTACCCCCCGGTGCTACAGTACCCGCGGGTACTGTTCACAGCTAGGCTGCGAGGGTTAGAGAGAGCCGGTCGCGGGGCGTTTGCCCACGGCCGGGCAAGAGGGAAGGGTTTTCTTCTTAAATCTGGCTTGATTAGATCGATACATCTCGTCTCCTTATATAGAGAGGTTTACTTGACTCCTAAACAAGCGACCCTTATCTCTAATTAACCCTAACACTAATGGGCTATACATCCAGCCCAGGCCTAATAGGCCCCTGCCATACTCTAACAGAAGCTTTTGTAAGGTTACACAAAGAAGGCTTGATATATAGGTAAGCTACTAGCTACCTCACTTTTTTTGTATTTTGAGTGTTAACATGGACATTCAACTATCAGTGTTGCTATGATGTTTTACCTGTTTATCTTGTACATTCCTATTTTTCAATTGCCAGCCTAGTTTTTCACAAGCTATGGGTGATTTATTCCCTTGCAGAGATTATCACCTTCTGAATTGGGACTGCACACTTTTAACTTCAATTTCTGACATAGAGGTTTGCGGAACTTTTTATTTTTCATTGTAGACATTAAATCTGCGCATACACGACTAAGATGTTTTTCTTTATTGGAAAATGCTGTTTTTTAAGGTTGATCATATAGATCTTAAAGAAGAAACAATGTTAAAGATCCCTGGTTATGCTGCTCCTGTACAGTTTGGTGTGTTGACATCTTTTGCCTATCCGCTTGAAGGACTAGGTGAGATTATTGTTGCAACAACTCGAATTGAAACAATGCTCGGTGATACAGCAATAGCTGTTCATCCTGAGGATAGAAGGTACCAGCATCTGCATGGACGGTATGCAGTCCACCCCTTCAATGGCCGAAAACTCAAAATAATCTGTGATCCTGAATTTGTTGATCCCACTTTTGGTACTGGGGCTGTCAAGGTAGGGGCTTGTGTCTAGTGCTACTTGTTATCGCTGTCTCGTTTCACATAGTTGGGCCTTATTTGCTAAATGTTGTGTGCTGGTCTTGTATGCAGATTGCACCTGCCCATGATCCAAATGACTTTGAGGTTGGACGACGGCACAACCTTCAGTTCATAAATATCTTCACAGATGATGGGAAAATAAACAGCAATGGAGTTGCACAATTTGAAGGAATGCCAAGATTCACTGCTCGAATTTGTGTTACTGAGGCATTGAAGTCAAAGGTATTAATGTTTTGTTTAATTATACTTTCAAAAATGTCTACATCACCAGAATCTCTAAAATTAGTTACTGCATCTTGATGGCATGGTATGGATTTGTATGCATTATAATAATGTAAAGCATGGCATGCATAGCTTTAACAGAGCTATATTAAAACTATAATGTGCATCATGCCATGCCTTTGGGATTTAGTAATGGGTATTCATAATTAGGATATTATAAGTAGATCTCAACGTTTTCGTGGGATCCTTGATATCTATGGATACTAGTGATAGACTTTACCCTTAATAAATTATGATGATTCCTTTGTTTTTCCTGCGTGTGGTGGATAGGGTTAATAGTGTTATTGCCTTCTTTTTTTGGTCTCATATTGTTTTAAGTATAGTTCTGAACTTCTGACGATGTTTGATTATGCTAATTAAGGGCTTGTACAAGGGTACAAAGAAGACAGAAATGACTTTGGCCATTTGTTCAAGAACCAATGATGTAGTGGAGCCTATGATAACACCCCCCCCCAGTGGTTTGTTAATTGTAACACCCTGGCGAAGGTAGGCCTTGATGCTGTAAGGTCTAAGAAGATTGAGATCAGTCCCCAGCAGTATGAACAAGACTAGTATAGGTATGGGATAGCAATACCCGACGGGCATGCTGTCAGTCAACGAAGCGGCGTATTGGTACGGTGCGGGTGCCGGTGGGCTACGAGCCTAGGAGCCTCCGATCCGACGCTCCCAGGCCCCAGGCCTGCCACGTTAGAAAGTCTGTCGGCGCCGATAGGCCGGCGTCGGCTGCCAGAGTAATGTCGGCTGCCAGAAACTCCTGAGGGGCCGCCATTCTAGAGGCCGCCAGGGGTCATGTCGGCCGTCCAGACGTCGACACGAAGTCTGTTCTCGCTTGATCGTATTTGTCTTATAAGTCATGACTTATTATCTAATAAATAGTATTTTTTTCTCATGCTAAATCAGGCAACAGTACTTTCAGCTATGACTTAGGGCAGTCCCAACGAAAGAAACCAGTAGTTTCTATAACATAGGACACCGCACCAAAAAAGTACTGCTTTCCAACCCATGGTTTCTATGAGTAATAATTATTTTCTCTTTCTCTCTCCCAACTCTATCTTCTTCCTCCAATGAGAATACGACACGAGCTCCCTAGAAACTGGTGGTTTCTCCCCAATGGCGATTTCATAGTTTCTTTGTGCATTGGGTCAAGAGTAGACCTGATTTCTTCATTAGGAAACCATTTCTATGATTTTTGCTCTCTTTCTTCATTAATTACGTTGCCATGTCAGCATTTTGCCTACGTGGCAAGTTATTTAATGAGGATAGAAACCATCATCAATGCACCATTGGGACTGCCCTTATAGGCCAAACCAGCCCAAACGAACAGGACGGGGGTGCTATGCCTACAATAAATGTATAACAGCTTCATTTGCAAATATTATTTAAAAAAAAATCGATTCGGTATCGCTCTTGCTCTGGCATGTCTTCCATCTGTCTCTGCTACTGTCGCCGGCGTCTCCTTCCTCTCTTTTGTTGAGCCTCTCGGCGTCGGGTATGGTATTCCTCTGGGTGAGGCTACCTGTCGTTTCACACCTGCTACTTGAATACGACTACTTGATGGTAAGCAAAGCAAGTGTCACATCCTAAAATTCGTATTCAAGTAGTTGTCTGGAATACTTGATGGTAACCAGCTAAGACTACTTGAATACGAATACTTGAATACAGAGGATGTTTGGTTCTTTAGTCGCTCCTAAAATTCATGTCACATCGAATGTTTAGATACTAATAAGGAGCATTAAATATAGATTAATTATAAAATCAATTACATAGATGGAGGCTAATTTGCGAGACGAATTTTTTAAACCTAATTAATCCGTCAAATCATGAACTAATTAGGCTTAAAAGATTCGTCTCGTAAATTAGTCACAAGTTATGCAATTAATTTCATAATTAATCTATATTTAATACTATATGCATGCGTCTAAATATTTGATGTGACAGGAATTTTAGAAGCTCCTACAGAAACCAAACAGGCGGGCTCTGTTCGTTTCATCGCCGCGCATTGCACATTCGTGTTCTACAGCTACACAATCGATCATGTATGTGTATCCACTTGGAGGGGGGCTCTCTTTTCCACCTTTTGAGCCATCTTTTTTTAACCAACTTTTTGTCAACAAATAGTATAATAATAACTTGTCAAGCTAACTGGTTTCTTTTGGAGGAAGACTTATCAAGCTAACTTTTGTCAACAAATAGTATAATAATAACTTGTCAAGCTAACTTGGAGTGGGCCCCGTTCGCTTCGCTGAAAAAACAAACCAAAACACTGTTCTGGCTAATTTGTTATGAGAGAAAAACACTGTTCCGACTAATAAAATAAGCTGAAAAGTACGAATTATAAGTTCGTTGGTTTCCTGAAACTGCTCCAGCTGGAATGATAGCTGGAATAATTTCCAGCCTCAATTCAGGCCCAAGGAACGAGGCCTAACTGGGCTCTCTTTGAATAAGACAGAAAGAACCTCACCTGGTTTACAATTATGGATAGCAGTTTAATAACACCTTTGATTTCGACTTCTGGCGCAAGTCCAACAATGGGTCCTTCACGTGACGCCGACGGGCCTCGAGTGGGTGCTGCAGACCAGAACGGCAGGAACAGGACGATGCAGATGAGGATGAGGATTTGCAAGCGTGGCGTGGACACTACGTTTCCTCGAGGAGGCAAATAGGTTGTTTTTCTCATCTGAGTAGTAGTTTACTGCATTTAGTTAAAGGAGAGCCGGCTAATTTTTTTTATTAGCTGGTTAGTTTATTTTAAGTTGGGGTGTTTTGATCCACTACAACTAATTTTATAGCTAAATTATTTAGTTGTCTGGAATTAAGCATCCCTTAAATACCTTTTCTTCTTACTCCCAGACTCGTCTTGATGGAGCAGTCCACAGATTATTATTCAGATAAACCTGTTACGATTGTGCGTTTCATCATGATGCAAAAGGCCAAACCTAGTATCAGCTTGTTCGCGCCCTGCATGGTTCCTACTCCCGTCAACAGCAAGCTGTATTAATTAATAGGCGTTTGTTCGCAAAAAAAGAATTTAGAAAAAGCAGCACACGTCACTGGACCAAATAGCCGAACAGGATAGTGTTCTCAAGGATAGAGATCTGAGTTCGGTTCGGATACAGCCAGCAATCAGCAATCCAACGAGGCGATGATCACTAATATGGTGCGGATGTTTAGTTACACGCATTTGCATGCAGATACTCAGAACCCTATGCTCACCAAGTTACATATCAATTGCATTTTAAGGCTACTGACTGAATTCGCTTTTAGATATCAAGTTACATATCAATTGCATGCAGATACTACAAAAGAAGAACGTTTGGCCAAATTATGAAGTGGGCATGCCGTATGCTGGGAACAACGGTCATGAAAAATCATAGGTGGTTGTCTTTTAATAGACTGAGTGCTGAACTTTTGCTGTTTGAATATGTGTTTTGTGCTCAAAAAATAAATGTTTAGCTTTTTCCTCGTTTTTGTTTTTCAGTCTGAGGCTGAAACTTTAAATTCTATTTGGTTGAGTGCACAGCTCAGCAGAGGCTGAAATAAAGACCATTCTATTTTTTTTTTCTTTTTTCTTTCTTTTGCGTATCATTGTATTAAGGAGAAGAGTTTAAAGAAACATACAACGCACTTCTATCGAGCGCCGAAGGAGGTCGACCTAACACAGCCGAAGCTGGACCATCCTAGCAAAAGACATCATGTTTCGATATTACATAAAAGGAAACAACCAATATCGACGCAACTTTGTGGTCTATGTGGCCTTGCGTCTTCGTGGCTGCCTGGACGGTGCCTTTCCAATGGCCAGGAAGAGCACGTCCAGCGTCTCGGCTTCGGACGCAGTCAGGTTGCCGTCGAAGAGCCTGTCAAAGGCCTCCAACTCCGAAGCGGATGGCGCAGATGGACCCCTGGTGTAGCCCATACGCTGTATGATCAGCATCTCACCTTGCTTGGAAGCTGGCACTCGAGAGAGGCTCTGAGCCGCCAACCGCTTGCTCTGCCGGCTTAGCAGGAGGCTGCTTGGGACGCTCGCGAATCAGCGGAGAGTCCCTCTTGCGCGTGAAATTATTGATGAAGCTGTCGAGGCGTCGTTTGGCGGAGTCGTCGTTGTCCAAAGCCTGGTGGGTAACCCCTGGTGGTGAATTAGAAGGGCCATCCACCGTGAGGTCGACCGCGTGTGTCTTCGACGAGTCCACTGCCCGCTGAATGGGGTGTGGGGGTGGTGTCCGTAGCACACAAGAGGCTACTGCATCCTCCAACTGGGGGCCGCCACTGCCGGTGCCTCATCCAGAAGCTGGGGGGTCGCCGAAGTTGACGGGAGGTGCTCAAGGGAAGGCCATGCGACGATCTGACTACCAATGAGCGAGGCTGCGAACTCCTCAACCATCGGGTCCTCTCGAGATGTCACGATCCCGCGTGGCGCCCGGGTACAACGTGAGTGCCAACGGGTCGGGTTCAACCATGCCCGTCGCGTTGGTCAGCCCACCGTGCCTTGCCTCAGTTCCAACAACAACCGAGGTGAAGTCCGATGCCGTTTGGGCGGCCCCGCCGACCGCCTCAGTAATCGCGGTGGTGACACTTTCGTGTCGTGAGTGGTGTCGTCCCCCCTTCAGATCGGCGCCGACGCCTCCGACGCCTCCGCCCGTCTGCGCCCACCGCTATCACGCGTGTGGTCGCACTCGCACAACAATTGCTGCACCCGCACAGCCCAACCCCTTTCCGACGTGTCGCCTCGAGTCGCGCCGCCGGTTGCCCAAGATACGCCCCGGACAGAACATCGTTGCCGGGCCTTCCGGGGCACCAACGTGCCCGAGCGGAAGGAGGCACCTTCCGTCGTTGCTTACAAAACCCCGCGCGAGGTGTCGGAACCCTTGCATCGCCGGAGGCGCGTGGAAGCGCAGCTTTGCGGTTGCCACCACAATGCGCGCGCGGTGGAGAAAGCAGCTAAGCACTTCCGCGTAGATCCACCGGATAGCGGGTAGGGGCCGTTGGTTCGCCGATGCGAAGCGGTCTTGGCGGAGGCGTGCCCTCGGCACCGCTTAATGACCCCTGCGACAAGACCTCACGCCAGTCATTGGCGTCCGGAGCGAAGATGCACTGGCGGGCAGAGCCCCGTCCGTGACATCCGAGGCGCTGTCGGGCGGGGACATGGCCATCCACGGGCCGAGGAGGCAGTGCAGCACTACCGGGGCGGCCGTGGCGGCGAAGTCTCACGGTTGTGCCGCCCGTGCACAACACCAAAGACCACCAGCAGATCATTATGTGCACCTCTTGCGACATTGGGTGGTCGGCCCCCCTCAGCTAGGGCAAGCTTGCTCCGCTTAGCAGCAGCGTTGCCGCGAGTGAGGCGCGGCTTGGCACGCTCCAGCAAAGGCGACGTCCGGAGCTGTGACCCTGGCGGATCAAGCGCCGAGGTAGGAGGTTGGGGAAGTGACCGGCGACCTCTCCGCGCCGTGAGTCGCCAAGGTCCTCATCCGCCCAACAACGAGCCTTGAACGCCCCATCGCTCCATCCCGAGGTGTAAGGGGGGAGGCGAGGGGGATGAAGGATGACGGGTCAAGTGCGGAGGGGTGCACGAGGAAGATGGCAAGCCCCGACGTCGGATGAGGTCGCTTTGGCGAACTGGGCGCCGAGGCGTCCTCGACGAGAACCAGCGACTCGTCCTCCACCAGCCGCGATTCGTCTTTGGCGGGCCATCGCGCCCGGCGGCGTTGGGGTCAGACCAGATGGCTCTCCACTGGGCCGTGGGGGAGCTTGTGTCGACGGTGACCGCCCCCGGCGGCGGAGGGGCATGGGTGGCGTCGTCAGCTTTGTAGAGGAAGGAGCGGGCTCCACAAGCGACGTTGGCAGCGGCGCGGCCTCCCCGCGAACGGCCATGGTGCCCGCACCCGGCTCAGTGAACTCAGCGCGTTTGCCGGCCGCGACGGTGATGGCCACGACAGCAGCAGCCTCCAACAACGTCGAAGGGGGCGGAGTGGGTGGGGTGACGCCGGATCGACCCCCCTAGCGAGGCTACGCGGAGCCCGCGGGCTCGACACCGGCGGGGGGACCCGTTTGGGCGCAGGTGGCTGGCTTCGGCGGTGGATGGGGCGGTGGGGCACCGGTGGATGAGGTTCCGCGGTGGCGGCGTCCGCCCCATGTGGCCGTGGGGCGCCGGAGGAGCAGCCCGACGCGGATGGCGGCGGCGGCCGCCCGGCGCACTCGAGCGCACCCGCGCGTGGGCGAGGAGAGGAGGGTGGCGCAGCCGTGGAGGCAAGCTTCGGCTTAGCCGGCGTCGAGGGGGCGGTTGTCATGGCCGGCGCCCGCCCGAGCAGCGAGGGCACGGCTGGCCCGCCATGGCCGGCTGCCGCGCGCGGAGGGTGAAGGACTGGCGTGGACGAAGGTTGGGGGCTGGTATGGGAGGGGGAGGGATAGGGTGAGGGGACCGGCGGCGGCGGCGGCACCAGGGTGAAACCCAAACAGGCCGCACCTGCGTCGGAGACGTCGGCGCCCAAGGTGGAATCGTTGTCTCTCCATTCTTTTTTTTTTAAAAAATATCATTGCACTTGATTAAAAAAATGATCGAAAACGGTACTATTATCATCTTACATGACCAGTAGGCAAAATAAAATACATCTGTACACTATAGCAGCACGATGCACGAACGATTAATTATTAGCAGCTCAATGAACATTCGAGCTGGCATGGCATGGATTATCCAGCAACTAGCAAGCACACTTATATTAGGACCGGCGGTAGCAGCAGTGGCGGTGGTGATGGTGACGAAGGCGGAAGAATTTCCGATCGGACTGCCAGGGCTTCAGGGCAATGCTGTGGAATCAGGAATCAAGTGAGAACGAATGCATCCAAGAATCGCAGTCGCAACAACTACTAGTGTTCTTCGGCTTCCTTATCCCCAAGAAGAAGAACTCCGATGTTGAGGAGCGAGAGCCCGATTAGCAGCAGAGCAAACGCGCAGAAGCAGAGCACCGGGGCCGTCTCCCTGTCCGCCGCCGCCGCCACCACCGTCGCACTGGCAGCAGAGGACGCCAAGAGGTGGCCCGCGAGAGCGAGGTTGCGGCGCAGGCAGCGTACACCCACCCCGGGGAGGCCTGCGGGCGCCGTCGGGTCGTCGGCGACGCGGACGCCGACGAAGATGAGGCTGGCGCCGGCGAGCACCCCGGCGAAGCTGAGAAGCAAGGCGAAGCCGCCGGCGGAGCTGACGCCCGCGCTGACAGCGATCAACGTGAGGACAAGACCGGTGGCCGTCGCCCAGCTGCCCGGAGCGGCCATCGGCGGTGTTGCGGAGTAGTCACTGTGCACCTGCACCTGAACAAGGCAACAGGAAAAAGAAAATTCAAGTTGGCAAGAATCATGGAGCGAGGATGAGGCGGATAGGAAGTAGAGAGTTTGGCAAAGGCCGGGATTCGCAAGGGCATTCCCATCGGTCCGCATGGATCACCGTCGAGGCGTCGACAGGCGCGATGCGATGCGGCGAGATCACGCGCGCAAAATTAAATCTGCAAAATTATTAGAGCCGAAGGGGAGGAAAAACGTTTGCAGTCGGGGAGGCAGCGTTCGCTACCGATGTAGTTGGTGGCCGTGAGGTCGCGTAGCACGAAGCTGACGCCGCCGGCCCTGGGCGCCCTCGCCGGAGGCTGCTCGCTCCGTTCACCGGCACGTGGTTCAAGGTCGCCCTCTGCAGCGGGAGCACGCAGGCAAGCGGGGAGGAAGTGAAGAGCGATCGTGAGCGGGTACGGCTAGGCTCTGGGCGGCAATTCTCGTAGCGCGGAGTGAGGAAGGTTTGGGGGAAGAGAGGAGGGAGGGAGGAGCAGGAGCAGGAGCAGGCGGCAGGCGGTGGTGACGAGGAGAGGAGACGGGCGGGGATTTTAAAAGGGAAAGAGGGAAGGGACGGAGATAGGCAGATCAATAATAATAAAAAAAAAGAATGGGAGAAGTCAAGTGTGAACACGGGGTATAGTTGGCTTGTTATCCTTGGCTTGTGCCGGTGGCCCCAGCCCCAGGTCCTGGGTAGCGACACGACGCGGTACGCAACCAACAGGTGGCGGGCTGGCGGCGGGGCCGTCCAAGCCATACGGTCGCTGGTGCGGATACCACCTTGTTTTTAAGTACGTAATAAATAACAAAAAGAACAAAAACAGAAAAGTCCGGGATCGCGGGGGCCACCACCGGTGTCCGGCACACGGGAACGCAAACGGACAGGAACAGAATATTCTATCAGAGATTCAGAGGGCCACCCCCACCCGCCCTTCTTGCGCTCCTGACTGACACTGACACTGCGACTGCTACCGTCCGTGCACCCGCGCCGCGCCTGCCTGCTCGCAGGTCTGGCACATGTCGTCTGGCTGGAACTGAACTGGAATTTATCTCAGGAATCCGTACCGCATCCATTGTTGATTCTGACTGTGGAGTACTGTACCGTAGGGGTGCGTTTGGTTCATGTTTTTTATCTGGCCTGGCTAGCAAATTTAAGCCGGGATAACTTTAGCCTGACTTGTGCAATACAAGATGCACTTGTTTGGTTGCATTCACTGCCGAAGCCTGGATTAGGATTGACGTGTTTGGTTTCGCTACTTTTCTTGGCATACAATCACAGCATCTTTGAGCCGTTAACGTTACCCCTTACGAAACATTTCGTCGAACAGTCGGTGAGCACACAATGGAGGAGGCACTCATCGTCTCATCCGCACCTCGCCGACAGGCACCTAGTGGCGGCAGCCGGCGCCAATGCACGAAGGACGACGCCTCTCCCTTGCTCCGCCTAGCGACCCTCGCACCGTCCCCTCCCGTAGAAGAAAAAGCATCTGAGCACCATGGCCGTGAGTGGGGAGAAGGAGAACGATGGTGGCCACCGAGGAGCCGCCTGTACAAGTGCGTGCGCATCCGCGCCACCGAGATCGATCTGAAGACCGAGAGGAGCGGAAGGAGCACGGCGGTGAGATGAGCGCAAGCCAAGGAAAGAAGAATACAGGGAGCTCGAGCCGCACCGCATCGACCTCCGCCACTCCGCGTGAGATCTAGCCGAGGGAAGAAGAAGACAGTGGCGTGGCGGGAAGAAGAAGACGCGCGGACGCCGACGAGCTTTTCCGGGGAAGTGGGTGGCCGGGGCGCGGATGCGGAGGAGCTTGCCGCGGAAACGGATCGCCGGTGGCCGGCGGGGAGCAGCGCAACAACGACGGCCGGTGGGGAGCGGCCCGAGCATGGAGGAGCCGCGGCGCGCGTCCGTGCGAGAGCGAGGAGGAAGTGGAGTGGCGGCGCGAGAGCGGGAAGGAGCGGCGTCCATGCGAGAGGTGATGTGAACGGAGGTGAGGGGAGCGCTGGCTCAAGCCTGGCCCCGTTTACAGCAAGCCTGGCTAAGTGCCCATAAGTAGCTTGCTGGGGCCTGGTTTGGAGGCCTGTTTGGAGCCTGGCCTTGGGGAAGCCACGGAACCAAACATAAAAAATTAATTAACGGCTCACATCAGCACCTTATCTTAGGCCTAGGTTAGATGGGCGTTAGAAATCAGTATTTAGCACTGTAGCAATTTTGTTTGTATTTAACAATTATTATTTAATCATGGTCTAACTAGGCTCAAAAGATTCGTCTCGTAATTTACAATCAAACTGTGTAATTAGTTATTTTTTTATCTATATTTATATACTCCATACATGTATAAAAAAATTTAATGTGATGAAGAGAGAGTGAAAAAACTTGGAATCTAAACAATGCCTTACTTACAGCACCGGCCTTTTTTAAGCGCACATCGCGCGGGCGACAGTACGTGCTGACATCGTGGCAATACTATTCTTGAGGTATATTGGCATCATCTGCCTTTGCGTTGGTTGGTGTGGTTTCGGCGCGCGCCGCCTCCGCGTGACCCCTGCGCGGTGTACGATTACGACAACTCCAGCACGTCGTTGTCCCATCGTTTATTTCGGTCGGACCGGGCGCCAGGCGACGGGGCGAGCTTTCTATTTCCCGTCCGCAACGCCGAAGTACGTGAACGGACGCGGAAGAAAACGCCCGACCGACGGGTTGCGTGTGCCAGTTTGAGACGGGGCCCCGCTGCCCACTCTCCTTCCTGGTGGACCGACCGAGTGTGATGGTATTCTAATCATCGGCGACGAGTGCGAGCATCCATGCCAGTGCGAATATAGCGGAGCTTTTAATTTCGTGCACATGTGTTGCAGCGGCACATTTTATCCGTTGCAGGGAGGGCAGGACGCACCGCGGTTTTGGAATTACACATGTGTTGCTGCTCTTGAGGCTGGATAGGTGAGGTAAGGTGTAGTAAGATCTGCAGATGAGATGCCCGCAGAGGGTGCAGGGTCGGGTGATCAATCGGTTCGGTACTTCGGCCAATCGATAAGGAGCACCGCCACGTTCGACAGCCAGTTGGGCCTAGTGCGCCGTGACATGACATCTTCGACGTACAGTATCAGTACGTCATAGTTCGTGAAATGAAAATTTTTAATGTCATATCGGATGTTTCGGAGATGTCGGAAAGGATTTTCGGATACTAATAAAAGAAACTAATTACATAGCTCGCCTGGAAACTGCGAGACGAATTTATTAAGCCTAACTAATCCATCATTAACGCATGTTAGTTACTGTAGCACTTATGGCTAATCATGGACTAATTAGTCTTAAAACATTCGTCTCGCGATTTCCAATCAAATTGTGCAATTAGTTTTTTTTCGTCTATATTTAATACTCCATACTTGTGCCGCAATATTCGATGTGATAGTTTGGGGTGAAAATTTTTAGGAACTAGGCCACGTTTAGTTCCAAAACCAAATTCCCAAAAAGTGCTACATTAGCCATCATATCGAATCTTGCGATACGTGCATGGAGCATTAAATGTAGACAAAAAAAAAGTAATTGCACAATTTGGTTGGAAATAGCGAGACAAACGTTCTGAGTCTAATTAGCCTATGATTGAACACTAATTACCAAATAAAAACGAAAGTGTTACGATAGCCAAGTTCTCCGATTTCACCCGACTAAGGCCCCGTTTAGTTCCAAGCCAAAAACCAAAAATTTTCAAGATTCCCCGTCACATCAAATCTTGCGGCACATGTATGGAATACTAAATGTAGATAAAAAAAAACTAATTACACAGTTAGCCGAGAAATCGTGAGACGAATCTTTTAAGCCTAAATAGTCCATAATTAGACAATTTTTGCCAAATAAAAATGAAAATGCTACAGTAACCAAAAGCCAAAAATTCCCGGAACTACACAGGGCCTAAACACCGCCTGAACCAGGCCTTACCCAGAGCGGCGGCGCTGCAGCAGCCTGGCCCGGGTGTTTTGGCCGCCGTACGTGCCGGACCCGGACATGACGAGGTGCTTGTACGTCGACCCGCCACAAGGCTAGACCTAGTTGTGTCAGAATGACATGCACATTTTGCCCGTAGCAACGACCCTTCAATTAGTTCCACGAAGATTATCAGCCTGTTCGGCTGGTGCCGATACGATCATATGCGATTGTGGATTATTACTGCCGGCTGATTTGGTATGAGAGAAAAATACTATTCTAGCTGGAAATTTACGATCGTTTACGATCAAGCGAACAGATTATATATATTTGCTGCTCCCTAGTACTATTATACTACCAGTCAGTACCAAGAATTATAATTATATGTTAATTATATGTCTTTGTGATCTGGGGCAGTGAGAAGGCCGGCCGATCCGGATCCGATCCACTTGGGAATATTTTTGTCTTTGTCTTGCCACAACCACTACGAAGCCACGACTTAATTAACCGTGCAATATTCTATGACTAAGGCCTTGTTTAGATACCCTCAAAATTCCAAGTTTTTTCACTCTTTCTCCATCACATCAATTTTTAGCTGTTTGCATGGAGCATTAAATGTAGGTAAAAAAATAACTAATTGTACAGTTTAGTTGGAAATCACGAGATGAATCTTTTGAGCTTAGTTGGTCCACGATTGAACAATATTTATCAAATAAGACGAAAGTGCTACTATTCATCGGGTTGAATTTTTTTTCAATCTAAACAAGGCCCAAAGAGACTGGGGATCTTGTCTTGGAATACGACTCTATATACTGTACTATATACGAGGGGCAGGCGACTTGCTGCCTGCTGGCTGCATGCATGTACGGTGAGCCGACGGTGTAATTCCGTCACGACTTGCGTTGCGAGTAGTCAGGACTCAGGACAGGGAACGTGCTGGGGATTCACGGACGCGCCCCGCATCCGCATCGTCATGAGTCGTCCGTCTTTTGTAGCGCATCTTTTGCGTGGAATATTCCAATTTGATTCGAGG